GGGCGGGTGGGTGTGCGTGCGCGCGTGCGAGCCGGCCTGCAGGAGGCGAGGCTCTCCTGGCCTCTCGCACCAACCAGTTGACCCAGCCCCTGCAGGGAAACTGCCGCCGCCGCCCGGGCCGCCGGCCCTCCTGTCCCCTGGCCAGGTCAGTTCGCCCCGGGGCCCGCCCAAGTGACACGTAGGTGGCCTCTTGTTACCTGGGTCGGGGTGGGGGCACAAGGAAACTTACGATGATCTCTCGAAATCCCCCCTCCCTAGTGGGACGTGGACCGCCGGGGGCCCCTGCACCCCGCGGCGCGGAGCTGGCGCACCACTTGCTCCCACTGACGGCTAGGTCGTCCTTCCCAGGCCGAGGACTTTGTAGTGTCTGTCCAGCCGCCTCAGATACGCTCAGCAAGTAACTGGGAGATGGAAAGAAGGGAGGGACCTGGCTGGGAGTTGATGGTTTTGAAATCGATGGGCTCTTCTGGTGTGTGTGTGTAGGACTAAGTTGTCGAGAATGGATTTAAAGTGTATTCTTGTGTGAGTGTGTATGTGTGTGCGTTTTGCTGCCATTTGGCCTTTGATGTGTTAAGAGTGACGGCATCCAGGACTCCTTGCTGCCTCCAGTCTGGGGCCTGAGATAGTTGCCCTCTGCATGCTCTTTTTTCTTTCTTTCTTTCTTTTTTTTCCTGGTTGAAATCTATGAATTTTTCGTAAATGTGGGAACTGGCTTGTAGAAGTTTCACTATGAATGCGTGTTTCCCGTTGTAATAGATACCATCCTTGTAAACCGAAATAATGAACATGTAACTAGTAGTTAGAGCAAAATCCTCTATTCCTTCAGCTCCAACAGTCTGCTTTTCACCTATTTGCATAAGCGTGGTTTGCTCAGTGTAAGCATGAACTGTGAAGCTAGAAGTCTGGCATTCTGGTTACAGGGAGACGCTGTACTCGGGAAACCGCTAAATTATTGCAAGAAGTTACTTTCTTGTGAGAAGAGTGAGTGTCAAGGAAAACGGTTGTATATTAGAGTTTACGACTGGACTAAACTAAATTGCATGAAAACACACGCAGAGGTATAGTTACTAGTTGTTTCTGATCTTGATTCTCCAAATCAGGATAGCAGCGAATATACTTACCCCCCACACAAAGTGAGTAATGGGCAGGGAAGGAGGTAAGTATATTAAAGCTGCATTCCCCCCTCGATACGGTATAACTGGAGGCTAAAGAAACGAAGTAGCAAAGGGATGGGAGTAGACTGAGCTAGGAGGTCTGGGACTAGGGAGCGAGGCTGTACATCTCAGCCCGCACGCGTACCGCGTCCCCTAGCGGTGTGACCTGAGCAGGTCAGGTCAGTTCGCTCTCCTTGGGCTCGGTGTCCTCGTCTGGAAAATGAAGGGGAGTTTGATAATCTGTGCTGCTCCTTTCCAGCTACCCACATAACTAGAAAGGTTATCCCATGTTAGGACTGTAGGAAGGGTGTAAGGGAAAGTGTCCGAGTGAGAGGGCAGGAGGGCGAAGAGATGTTGGAAACCCCAGATAAGGAATGCTGGAAGGGGAAAGAAACTGGGGCTGGGAGTTGATTCTGATGTTCTCTTTTCCTTTTCTTTCCTTCTCCACAAGGAATTCAATAAGAGTGGTCATGAAAAATGCTTATTATGAAAAAAAAAGATGCATGGATTTCAATCTTTTTTGCACCAAAATGTATTTACACTTTAATATTATTCCCATTAGCTGTTTGAAAAACCCTCATATTCCCTGCATCCCCCTCCCCCCTTTCTCCATCCCTCTCAGATGAATCTCCTGTGGACTTAATTATTTAAAGCTTGTGAACCTGTTTAGCCTTAAAAATGACTTGAAACCCAGGTAATCTTTGTATTATGACTTCTGCTAGTAGAGATCACCTGCCCAGCTTTGCATTTGCATCCTTGTCTCAGGGGCAAGCTGCTGCCCAGTGCTGCTGGCTACTCAGCTTGGATTTCAGTATCCCTGAGTGATGGGAAAAAGTAACAGAGGTAGGAACACAGGTGGCAGCTCTTTAGAAACACCTGTTTTCATTAAAAATTACTGTTTTCCAAAAAGCAATGTGATTTCTTTTTAAAAATTATACCATAGACTTTGCAAGGTTTTTATTGGATCTGTTCTGTTAGAACTCCTGGACTATTTGAAGCTTCTCACTTGCTGGAAATCTCACTTGCTAAGTCCTGTGGCTACATATTCAGTCTGAAGCTAATTTTTATGGTTAAGAATCATTTCAAGTGCTTAGTAAGGAAAGTTATAATCTAGGTAGAATACACTGTATCATTTTCACAGGGAGCTCTGACTATTCAGCAAATAATAAGACTTTTGAAATTTAGTTTCAGGTCAAGATTTTAATAATTGTGCTTAATGTGTGCTCTTGTCTTCTTTTTCTTAAAATTGTTTTTGGTATCAGTATGACTACACATTTGAAGAACATGATTTATTTTAAAAATGAAGTGCGATGTAATAAGAACTCAAACAAAAACTCCCAGTTTAAAGTCTGAGATTCTGTCCTGGCCTTATTAAATCAGTATCATTCTACTGGTTAGTTTCTGATTTTTACTCACCTTGTTAACCTACAATTCCTCTACAGTGTTACTATTTAAATATCTCATGGCAAATTGGTGGTAGATAGTTCAGAAAGCTGAGAGAAAAGAAGGAATTTATAATTCAATAAGCAATTACTGAATCCATTCCAGTGAGGCAGGTACATGGATGATAAAAAAGAAACTTTAGGAAAGGTCTGCAATGCAGGGGAAAGATACAGCTATACTTCAGTATATATGTAAATGCTGATAATCACTTGGATCAAATTAATACCTTTACTATCAACTGGGCGATAGCTGTAGAGTCTAAGAACTTTGGCATGCTAGAGATTGGAAAATTATATTCTGATTCTGGGAAAGACTTCATAAAGCTTACAGAATGGTGCATCTCTTAAAAGATGAATGGGGGGGGATGGTCTGGCCTTGTAGTCTAGTGATTAAGAGAGCCAACCCCACATGGCCGACTATGGTTTAAACCCCAGCCCTGGTGGTTGAAAAAACATTTGGGTCATGTGTTTGTGTGTGTCTGTGCTCCAAATCTGAACAGGATGGAGAAATGAAGGAGAAGGGATTGTGGCATGGCCACACCTCACTGTGGGGAGGTGTCTTCTTCCTTTCTCTCTCTGTCTCTCTCTGGGGAGTGTGCATGTGTCCTCTGGCAATTAAAAAAGAAACAGAAAAACTAAATAACAACAACAGAAAGATGAACAGTAGGAGAATGAAATCTGCTCTTTTGGGCAGATGTAGTCAGGGGACCCTAGGGGATGTAGGCTGGAAAGTTACAAGGCAGCAAATTATAGGGGATCTTAGATGTTATTTTATTTATTTATTTTTATTTATTTTTTGTTTTTGGACTTAGATGTTTTTTTAAGTAGTCTTGCTACATAGGATGGAGAGAGGGAAGTATTGTTTAACCCCAAGATGCAGGAAGACACAAAGTACCATATTGCACCAGACAGAGATGACATGATTGAGGGATGGACTGGCTTTTATTCTGTTACATTTTGTACCTCATGGCTGCGATATTTTAGGAAGGTGCTGCCAGTTTATCCAGATGATATAAAGGTGTAGAATGAACTAATAGGTGGTTTCTTCTTACCTATTCCTCCAAGTTGATAGATCTCCTTTTACATTTGAAAAATTTAATTTAGTAAAAATTAGTGATGCTATCTTATTATATCTGGACCTTGAGGGGCCTTTCAAATGTGGGTGAAAACTTTTCTGCAGGCACAGAGCTCACCAAGAAAACATTTTTCTTTTTTTGTTTAGAAAAGGGCTTGCAAGTTAATGCTAATTTAAACATGACTCTTCTGGCAACTGGCATTCTTGATTCTATTTACGTTATATGTAGTATTTAACCAATCATCATTTCCAATACAGAAGAGATAGAATTATTATTAATTTGAAGATGAGGTTAATGCCTCTGTAAAGGATAGGGTGGAGATAGAGGGGAGGAGGGAAAAAGGGGAGAGAAGTACGCTAGGCGTTGCAGTGAGAGTTGACACAACTCAGAATCTCTTATTAAGTTTAATTTCCAGTAGAAGTAGTTTCTTTCAGAAACTTTTTTTTTTTCCTGGTAAAATGCTGTTTTCTTTCTTTTTTAACCCCTAACGCTAAAATATTTAGTTCATTATCTCTTGGATGAGAAGAATCTCTGTGGGATCCATCAGAAGGGGTGGTCAGCAGTTTTACAGGTTCTTCCCACTCCAGTGCCCAACATCTCTGTGTCACAGATGGGAATAGATAGGTTTTCTGTGTGTCAAAGGAAGAGGACCTGCATGTCGAAGAGATGATTTCCTTAAGTCTTTTAGTTGCCTTTGGATCTGGAGATGGTGGCTACAAAGGAAACGAAAGAGATTTGGTTAACTTCCTTTTTATTTATTATTTTACATTTAACTGCCATATATCTTCATGACTTACAATGTGGTTTTTCAAAGCATGCATGCAGTGTATGATAATTAAATCAGGATATTACCTTATACAGCATTCTCAACAAGGAACTTTACATTCTTGTGTCTTTTAAATGTTGTGCTGAGTCTCCCTCCCCTTCACTAACCACCCCTCTCCCAGTCTCTGGTATTTACATGTGTCCTTCCTACTATTACGTCTTGGAATCGTTTAATTTCCATCATTGAGTATAAACATTCTGTATATACTGTGTGGGGACATACTGTGTTTGTTTTCACAATCTGTCTTCATTTTACTTAGCATTATATCACCTAGCTTCATCTACTTTGTAGCAAATGACAGTCTCTCTGTTCTTTATGGCTGAGTAATATTTCATAGTGTATATGTGCCACATTTTCTTAGTCCAGTCTTCAGTTGCTGGGCACTTAGTTAACTTCTTTTTACTATTTTCTGAATGCTGGTTGAATAAGTGACCCTCCTGGCAGTTTGTTTTACCTTTTACAAGGCAACTTGAGTTTGGCATACTTCATAAGTTGTTAGTTAAGTTAAAGGAGTCCAAGATTAGGATACTTTATTTCTTAGATGTTCACATTTGAGTTTTTGATGGTGGAGGATTTAAATTTCTTGGATATTTTTGTTTTTAAGCAGGTATGATTTCATACTAGCATTGTTGTTGACTAGTGGGGATGGGCCAGAGAAAATTGTTTCAATAGTTGCATGT